GACGCGTGGGGGGCCGGGGGGCGGGGGGGGGGGGTGTGTGCAAGTGCAGACAGGGACAGAGAATGTGTGTGTGTGCACGCGCGCGCCGGAAAGGGCAGTACATGCGTGCAAGCACAGGCAAGGGCAGAGAGTGTCTGTTTGTAGGCAAGGACAGTGCATGCATGTGCGTGCAGGCAGGGGCAGAGTCTGTGTGTGTGTGTGTGTGTGTGTGTGTGTGTGTGTGTGTGTGGGTGTGTGTGTGTGTGGGGGGGGGCAACCTATACCCACCCTCCTCCCCCCAATATACAAGAGTAAGACTTCATTTTAAACTATTGTGCAGTCATCTCTATGTACACTACAAATGCATGTAAGCCAGGACAAAAATATTTTTTGAAATCAAATTAATGAATGTTTTAGATGTTCACATGTTTGCATTTTAAAATATAATTTGATATTATTCTGGCTCTGAGATGACAAAACCCCTTGCTGAATGGAGTATCTCTGGTTCTTAGTCCAATGCTCAATCCTCCGCACCATTTCACCTCTTGTTTAACAGCTATATTAAATGACCAAAGGAAAGATTTCCTAAGAACACTGAAGCCTGACAATACCTGTGAGGAAGCTCCTATCAACCCAGCACATGCTGCATAACCCATATCCCCTGTTTCCCTCCATTTCTCCCAACCCCAAGCCACTTATCCTCTACACCCCCAGTGCTTACCCACCCTTCCTCTCATGCCAGGACTTCTGTGTATCATTACTGTTACCTCCCCATAAAGCAAGGTCTCACATTCCCCTCTCCAAACATATACCAAGAGTTGCATGCAAGCCCCACTCCCCTCTAACTCCTCATTCTCCTTCTGATATGTCTATGTGCAACCCCACCACTGCCTCCATTTCCCTTCATGACTAGGGACCTACCAAATTCACAACTACAAGCAGATAAAAGGGTGGGAAGCCCTGCAGTCTTAGAGTATGGAGGGGATGGGAGGGGTTGTGGAGCAGGAGGCTTGGAGACTGCAGACAGCTGCACTGTGGTCCCAGACCACCTGTTGCAGGCAGCAGAGAGGCTGCAAATCGGGTCCACCGCGCCTGGCCCAGCTTGCTGAGTGTGAGTACCCGGGCCAGGACTCTGTGGATGGAGGTGCAGCCTGCCGCCTGCCTGCTATAGCCGCCTGGATGTAGCAGCCCACCCCTCCACACCCTGCGCCTCTCCCCCCCTCCCCCCAAGCTCCCCATGCCCATGCTCCAAGACTACAGGGCTTCCCACACTTTTCTTTGTTTGCAGGGCAAGTTTTTTGGAGTTTTTTTTACAAGACGCTGCTTGGGGATGTTCCAAAACCTTGGCTCAATTACCCTGATTAAGCCCAAGGAAACCATTAATCCACACTTAATAAGGTGTGGATTAATGACTTCCCTTGGCTTAGTCAGGGTAATTTCCCTCCAGACATGAGTATACTCTCAGGAAAGCAGCCATCCCCCTGGAATCACATCAGCCTGGACTATTCAAGTAAAGACAAAATTCTTCAGAGCACCTAAGTGAGTGCAAGCAGCCAGGATTCACCCAGTGGTGCTCCTTCTAGGGCCTGCAAAGTCACTAGCAACTTCTGAGAAGTTGAGCCTATGTGACTCTACAGAAAAAAAGCCAGTGTTAAAGGCAAGGTATGAGAGCAGAACAATTAAAAAAAGCCTAACACTCTATTTTATTCATTAAATTTCAATGGAAGCATTAAATTTCTGACAATTTTAATTCTTTATCCAAAGATTCACACTAGAAAAGTTCAGTTTGTTATTTCTTATATAAAAGATTCAGCCACAAAGTTCACATACTGTCATATGACTCGAGGTTTCTACTCACACAACACAAAATAGCCAACAGCAAATTGTCAGTGCAAATAGTTTGCAAGCAACTAACTACCACAAACTGGGGGGGGTGTCTTTTTTTAATGACTGAATTAATGCTTACAAATGACAAATGTTATTCAAAGACACTGGCAAAGTGCAATCAAAGAAAGGAGTTAATTTAATGCAGAAAATTAAGTAAATTAGGACACTGGCAGGTTCTAAAAGGAAATTTTGGAATTTCTGGCTCTCAGTCATATACTCAGACAAAGAGACCAAGCTTGTGATCTTATGACAATACCTCAAGATGCATTTCAGAAATATAACAAGTTCTGTTTTCAGCAAAACTTTTGCTGTGAAAACTCCACCATGAATCTTTGCAAGGGTTGTACCTAGAGTATAATGAGCCTACAAGTTCAGCATAAAATAGGATCATTTACCTGGCAGTCTTGAGGAAATCCAACCGGGAAGAAGACCTTAAAAATAAAATAGATGCATCATTCTCAGCAGATGTAGTGAGTTTAGAGGGAGAAATAAGGTAAAAGTGAGGCACAGGCACAAAGTAGCACCAAATTCTGGCTTAACAAATACAAAGAACATATCAGATTTTACATGCATATTAAAATATATAAATACATGCATTTGTATTTTATTTGTAACCCTGAAGACAGACAGACAAACACTGCAGGGACTATGATGACTGCATTAGAGTACAGGCAAACAAATAATTTATATCAAGTTAACGGGACAGAGACCTACTGCAGAACAGCCAAGGTGCTTGCTCTTATCCCACAATAACTGAAAGCTAAATCAGGGCAGCTGAGCCTCCTTTCATCTGTAGCTAAACTTCTACACTTTGAGCTCTCATTTGCTGCACAGTAAAGAAACTGTCTCTCTGGAGCAGCTGATGTGCTAAGTCATAGAATCATAGAAAATGAGGGTTGGAAGAGACCTCAGGAGGTCACATCTAGCCCAACCCCCTGCTCAAAGCAGGACCAGCCCCAACTACATCATCTCAGCCGAGGCTTTGTCTAGCTGAGTCTTAAAAACCTCCAAGGATGGAGATTCCACCATCTCTCTGGGTAACCTGTTACAGTGCTCTACTACCTTTCTTATGAGAAAATTTTTCTTAATATCTAACCTAAATTTCCCTTGCTGCAACTTGAGACCATTGCTCTTTGTCCTGTCACCTGCCACCACTGAGAACAGTCTAGCTCCATCCTCTTTGGAACCTCCCTTCAGGTAGCTGAAGGCTGCAATTAAATCTCCCCCACCCCAGTTCTCTCCTCCAGATTAAATAAGCCCAGTTCCCTCAGCCTCTCCTCACAAGTCATTTTTATGAGGAGACCATCCCCCTAACCAGTGTTGTTGCCCTCTGCTGGACTCTCTCCAATTTGTCCACATCCTTTCTGAAGCGGGGAGCCTAACACTAAACACAGTACTCCAGATGTGGCCTCACCAGTGCCAAATAGAGGGGAATAATTACTTCTCTGGATCTGCTGGCAACGTTCCTACTAATGCAGCCCAGTATGCCATTAGCCTTCTTCACAATAAGGGTGCACTCTTGGCTCATCTTCAGCTTACTGCAACTCGCAGATGTTTTGAGGGTCCTGGTACCCTGTGAGCTTGCTGCAATTTGCTTGTTCACGCCCCTCAACAACTCCACAGTGACTTTGCATGATGAAGTCCCACAGAGCTCAAAAGGAGTTCTCCACACAGACTACCTGCTGACTCAAGAACAATGCGTGTGCTTCCTTTTCAGGATGGGAAGATGTGCATGTCTTCCCCAAGCCAGGATTCAGCCCTTGGTATCAACCTAATTGTAGTTATCAGAGAGATATGGCCTCTTCTTTCTTAGTCCCCTGGCTAGGGGCTATGATGGCATAGTGAATAAGCAAGGATGGGAGCTTGAGATTTGCTCTAGACCCATGCTGAAGGTAGCTGCCCAATGACCCATCTGTACACAGGTACCTTGTCTTTTGGGCTGTGGAGTCCAAGGCAGCAGGACTTGATGCTGGCCACATCACTCCCTTAAATGCCACTGGCTGCAAAAACAGGCATGCCACAATCATGCCACCTTAACAGGCCATATAGACTCGAGGGAACCTTTTAACCTTTAAGGCCACTTTAACTCTTTGTACAGCTGGAAATGGCTGAAGTTCAAGTCAAATGCATCCCCCTCTTGGTGTAGATCTGTGATGCTCAGCTGTCTTATTGTACAAAGGGCAGGGAGCATCTGCACAAAGGGAAGGTGGTGCCTTCAACCCCTCCGTGCCAGGCACCCTGTGCACTGACCTGCAGGGATTATATAGAGGAAGAGGCATGGAAACTACATGGACCCACAGGCTGACTCCCCAAAGCACACATTCAGACACGTGGCATAGCCTCATATTCCAGCAGAGCATCAAATGCTTAACTCAGCCTGAGAGGAGAAATCTGCAACTGCAAACTACCAAAGTTCCTCTGTGCACAGCCCAGGGCCAAGGTGTGCCAAGATATGCCCATGGTCCAAAAGCTGGCCCTACAGAAGTTAAAGTGCATTTGTTCTCAAGCCCCCCAACCTGAGAAGGAAATAAGAAGCTATGCTTATTGGTACAAGCAGAATTCAAGTGCATCTGAATGTGCAATAAGTAGGGACCTACCAAAATTGTGGTCTCAGGGAAAACGTTAGATCAAGCGTCATCCACTAAAAATGATGGGCTCCACAATTTTGGTGGGCTCACTGAAAAAAAAAAAAAAAAAAAAAAAAGACTAACCAGAAAGCAGAGAAAAGGGTGAGAAGCCCTGCAGTCTTGGAGCACAGGATGGGGGAGCAAATGACAGGCTGAGCCTGTGATATAGGCTCAGTGCAGGCACCAATCTGGGGCTGCTTAGGGAAGCAACAGGGTTTTGGCATCATTTTTTAAGCAGCCAGAGGCATCCTGCTGGAGCATGCTGCAGCCAGAGGAGGATTGAGCAGGATGAATAGTGAGCAAAAATTACCCAAGAGGGCCAAATACATTTCAGTTCTAGACTGTGTAAGACATTATCCTTCAGGGACCTTGCATGCAGATGAAGGCAAATTGTTCTCTACTGCCTGCAACATGTCTCTGGATATGTCAAGGAAAACCAATATAGACTGACACTTAAACTGCTTGCAGACATTAAAAAAAAAAGGCCCTTTACTGGAAGAAGCAGACAAAACATACCAAATGCTGCCAGTTTTCCATGTGTGAACAAGCTTCACCAAAACTATCTCCCTGCAGTGATCGCTTCACATATACAGTCCACAAAGTCTGCATTGGCAGAGTATGAATCCTTCTCTATTGTGGCCAATGGAGCCACCAACCCACAAGATAACTACATGCTGCACATCCTATTTGTACCTGGGAGCCGGACAGACCAGGACCTGCCTGTTTTTCAGAGCCGGTCCACCTCACATCTGTCAATTTTTCTACGCTGGCTCAGGCTGTAGTGAAGGCAGTTGTCAACTATGGCTTAGAATTTAACAAGATCTCAGCATGTCTGTCCAACAATGCCATGTACATATGCAAGGCTTCCTCTGATATGCTTCACGAAATGATGCCCAGAGCAGTTTACGTCACGTGCAACGTGCATATTCTGTCTTTAGTAAGTGACGTCTGGCATATGCAGCTCCCCAATGTGGATAGGGAAGGGACCTCGGAAGATCATCGGGTCCAGCCCCCTACACCAGGCAGGAAAGACAGCTAGAGTCAGGTGACCCCAGAAATGTGACTGCCCAGTCTCCTCTTGAAGATTTCCAAGGTAGGCTATTGCACCACCTCTGGAGGGAGTTTAGTCTGCAGTCTGGACACTAACTAAGAACTTTTTCCTAATGTTGAGCCTGAAACAGTTTTCCAGGAGTTTGTGGCCATTACTCCTGGTTTTCCCCAAGAGTACCCTGGTGAACAGTTGTTCACTGAGCCCTTGATGTACTCCTCAGATGTAGTGGTAAACTGCTACCAAGTCCCCTCTCGGCCTTCTCTTTTTCAGGCTGAAGAGTCTCATGTCCTTCAGCCTTACTTTGTATGGCTTGCCGTGCAAGTGTCTGATCATACGAGTGTCCCTTCTCTGGACTTTATCAAGCATTACCACGTCATTGTTAAAGTGGAACACCCAAAGCTGGATGCAGTACTCCAGCTGTGGTCTTGCCAATGATGATTAGAGCGGAATAATCACTTCCTTGCTTTTGCTGGAGATGCATTGATTGATGCATGCCAAAGTATTATTTGCCCTGCTGGCTACAGCGTTGCACTGCCGGCTCATATTCATACTGTGGTCCATTATTACCTCTAGATCCCTTTCATTCATAGTGCTGGTCAAGTTGGTGTTGCCCAGCCTGTAGGTGTGCAGGAAATTGTTCATCCCCAGGTGGAGCGCTTTACATTTCTCGATGATGAACCTCATCTGGTTCCAACTCACCCAACCAGGCTACAGATACAGGTGGATCTAGACAATCTTCAAGCATGACCATGCTTCCCCATAACTTGGTGTCATCCACGAACGTGGCCAGTCAGCTCTTCACCCCCACATCCAAATCATTAATAAAGGTGTTAAACAGTACTGGACCAAGCAACGACCCCTGTGGGACACCACTGGCCACTTCTCGCCAAGACGACACACATTCATTAGGACTATCTGGGTCCTACCCCACAGCCAACTTCATACCCACGTAAATTTCTTGCAGCTAAGCCCACAATCCTCCAATTTTCTTGTGAGAACATTGTGGGACACCAGATCAAAGGCTTTTTGGAAGTCAAGGTATATGATGTCAATCTCGTCTCTCTTATCTTAATTTCATAAGCCATTTCAGTTTAGAATTTAACAGAATGTTTAGACTGCTTAGCTTAATCAGGGTAATTGCGCCAGTTTGGGGCCACCTGCCAATCTGCAGTAAGAGGCAGGACTGCTGAGGCCCCTCGGCCAATCAGAGGCATGGGGGGGCCGTTATTTGTGATAAGCCCACAAAAATAGGCACCATGATCAGCCTGTGAAATTGTCCATCAGCCACCTCAATTTAGGTTAGTCCCTAGCAATAAGCTTGTGCTTGTCCTACAAGAACTTACAATGCAGCAAAATCAGTGAATGGAAATAATTTTCTTCAATGCTATACATACCTTTTTTCTGAAGGAAGATGGCTGTCACTATCAATGTTATCAATACTGCCACGAAGAAAAGAAGTGCTATGAAGCCATTTCTCCCTCTTGGCTGAATTAGATTTACTTCAAAGCAAAAAAGAAAAAAAAAAAGAAAGAAAAAGAAAAAATGTGCTGAAAGGCAACATTTTCAATCTGCTGTACATGGGTAAAAAAGGGTTAATTTGAAGCTATGAAGAGACCAAATTCAGTCACAGATGTATTCACACAAGCTTCAGTGGAGTTACATCAGGGATGACTCCAGCCTAATGACTGCACCTGACACTGTCAAGCTTGAGAGAGGACAAGGCTGCGATTTTCCCACACCAGGTTCCAGCTGGCTGCCACCCTATGTCTATGTAATGGAATTGCCAGTGAACAATTCTACATGCATCAGAGGAAAGGGCAAGAATCTCCAGACTAGAAAGTCTTGGAGTAACCTGCTCCAGGGGGGAATTTATTGTTTGATTACAGTTAATGGTTGGCTTACGCTCCTAGAATATGAAGGGTCAGGTTCCATCTGCAAGGTTGATTGGATCTAATAAAGGTGTAGATTTTTCTACAAGTGTTTCTCAAACATTGGCCTCACCCATGTTCCAGGGCAACAAGTTCTGGAGGTTACTGAAAGCAATTTACTGATGCAGTGAGAAGAAAGGAAAGAAATAACTTCCATTCCTTCTTCTAAATCAAGTCAGTGGCAACTCCATTACATGACTGCTTGGTGGCCTATACAAAATGATCTGATAGCTTCGGTCTGGTTCTGAGGGGCCAGGTCTTCACAATGCAGTGAGCATTAACAAGCTAACAAGGGGGCTGGAAGCTTCAGCAGAGGTCAAGTTTTACTCTGTCCAAGGAAGGGAGACAGCAGTCCTCTCCTTTCTCGTAGAAGCCCATTCCACATCCTAGCTAAAAAGCAGACCCTGCTGATCTCCCTGCAGCCTATATTCTGAGGCAGGCATCCAGCATTTATTAGCTTTCTATTCCCTCTTAACATTAGAAGCACCTGATAACAATGACTATGGCTACTTACTGACATTAATCCCCTCTGCCCCCTAACCCCCCCAAGGGTGCTTTACTTTAAACTCCATTCACCCCTACATCGTGCCCAGCACATGCCCATAAGATGCATCACTTTAGCTGGACCCAGCATACCCAATGACTACATAGATCAGGAGCTTCAGCAAAGGTTTTTTTGGCACTTTTATCTAATAGCTGATTGCATCAGCTTTATATAAATGCACCAAAAAGCCCGGCTGAAGCGCCTGATCTATACATACGCTGCCGAGCCAAGTTGAATTAACGTGCGGCTTCTTCTGGTAAAATGCCTTTTTTCCCCCTCCCATGTCTGTCTATGCTCCAATATTAACGGCATGAAAAGCGAGTCAGAACCAACACTTAATTTGCAAACTCATTCCCCACTCTTCTCTTAGGTTATATCTATACCGCATGGAGCAGCACCATGCAGAGACACCTGAGCTAGTTCTTCACGTGCTAGATCCAGAACCAGAGGCAGGATAGCCACACTGCCTCGTTCTCTGCCAACGTTACTAAGAAGCAGGGGTAACTAACTCAAAAGCAGTGCTGCACTCCTACAGTGATAGTGCTGCCTCACGCTGTGTACATTGCAGCGTGCCAGCTAGCATTCACAGTAAGGCCCAAATATCTCCACCCTGCACTGCATCAGGCCGTATAGTGATACCTTTTATGTTACAGACATCATCTTACACATACACTTACCTTCGGGGCACACATCCAGAGAGAGTGAACCATTGATACCTGCACCGGAAACCTTGATAATGCAATAAATTTTCTGGGAACGGTCTGCAGTCAGTGGAAGCTCAGCAGTATTATTTTGCCCAATCAATTCGTCCATGTTACTATAATGCCAAGAATACGTAAGTTCTTTGGAGATATCTGTGTGGCAAAATATGTGTAGCTTATTTCCAACAACTGTGCAATTTAAATCAGGTGGCAAAAGAGGACCTAGGAGGGAAGAGAAAAAAAGAAATTCCATGCTAGTTTGATTGCATACTGTTTGCGCTCCAAAAGGACTGCACATCTAACATTAAAACATCACATAGAGGATATCTAGTCTAGGAAGCAAGCAGCAACAACAACATTTATAATTCCATAGCACACAAAAAAACTGGAGTACTTGGAATAAATAGGGGTCTTCTTTCAGCAGG